ATTCACCTGATCTGGCCCCCGCTGACTTTTTTCTTTACCCAAAGATAAAGGAAATATTGAAAGGAAGACATTTTGATGACATTCAGGACATCAGGGGCAATAAGCCAACAGCTCTTACAGCCATTCCAGAAAAAAGAGTTCCAAAATTGTTTTGAAGGGTAGACTAGGCACTTGTGTCTGTGTTTAGCTTCCCAAAGGGAGTACTTCGAAGGTGACCACAGTGATAGTCAGCAAAGAGGCATTAGCACTTTTTCAAGAACTGTCGGACCTTGTACATATCAGTATAGCGGGTCTACTTGTTTATGGTGACCATCTTTTTATGTTAACCAGTTTGTTACGATCCCGTGGGTAGACAACTTAAGGTTCTACTGTATATACACACATACACCAAAGACTTGTACTTTGCAAATAACCTTTCCACATCACTTTCCCACCTCCTTAAGCCAACAGTATCTTTCTAAATTTAGAGAAGTCATCCAAACTTATTAAAGACTATGCATTTTTTTCAAGCTTTATGTGGGTAGCATAAAAATAGATATGTATTAGAAAAACTGTTTGATTATAAAAATATAACTGTATGAACACAGAGTATGTTTTTGTGTATTACATCACTGCATTCTAAAAACAAACTGACATCTCAGTTTATGTTACTTACACAATAAGTTTAATTTACATAGAAATGATAGAGCATTTCAGGAGTAAGTCTTAAAAATAGTTTCTGCTGAATGACTGCTATTATAATCTCCTTAAGAAAGAAATAAACATAAACTAAAACAACAGTTGTGAAACATATATAGTAGCTCTCAGCTAAAGACAAAACTCAATATTCAGTAGGAAATGCAAAAAAAAAAAAAAAAAAACAGAAGGAGTTTTCATTTGGATTGCTGACTACAGTCAAAATGCGTTTCCTTAAAACTTCACTCTTAAGCATATGGAGACCTATGTATTAAGGTAAGCTCTAAGGCAGTTAGCACATACTCACATTTCCTCTGAATGCTCCCCTATAACCACCAGTAAGAAGACAGCACAGTCTCAGTGCTTTCAGGATGCGGCTAAGATCCTTTCCACAGGTTCTCTCTTAAAGGAATGAGAGATCTTACTGGTAACATAAAGCCTTAACTTATTTCCAGAATTTAAATACAAACGCTTGTTTCCTAAGAACTATGGACAGTGATGCAGGAATTTAAGTTTTTCAGAATCATAATGACAAAAGTCTGAGGTTTGACTACGAAGGTTAAAATTTTCCAATAGATCATGCCATATATATGTCTATTTTTACATTTAGCTTTACAAATAGGAAAATTATTATCATTTTCCAATTAAAAAACCACCTCTCTATTTTTAAATTCCTAATATTAAGAAATTCTATAAAATGCAAAAATCCAGAATTTATACTAGTTTACATATTTGAAACATATTTATTATTCAATATATATCATGAAAACTCAGTTCCCCCAAATTGCTTTAAAAAACATGCATTAAAAAATAATGCAAGAACATTTTCCAGTTCCATCCATGTAAACATGAAGGAGGTAAAGTCTTCGTTTTTCTTTAGGGCTGCACACAGCCCTTTTATGAAACTAATTTATAGCTCTCAAATGAAAGATACAACTTAATTCTAGCCCAAGAATATGGGAGGGGGTGGGGAAGGGGAGGGGAGAAGGGCGGCTAGGTGTTGGGAGGGTGACCAGAAAGATCACCTATATTTCTGTCTAACAAGGGTACAAGTGAACTTTTCTAGAACTAGAATATAAATGTTTTGACACAATGACTTTGCAAATGACATAAAATTTATGTGAACCAGCTTGATGAAAGTAATTCAAAATGTATATGAAAACACTACACTGTACCCCATGTTTGCATTAATGTATACAGCTATCATTTAATAAAAAAAAATAATGCAATGTAGAGTGATAAGGAGCATAAGGGAAACATAGTAAAGTCATGCCTTTATTTTCTTTTTTTAACTCTACTTTCTTATTTAAGTCTTGATAACTGATGTTTGTCTTTAATGTCACGTTAAGTCATTTTTCACATAGACAAGATAGGAAGAAAAAAGAATAGGAAAAGGAAAATGACAAGAAAAATTACAGCAGAAGAGAGGAGGGAGCTATTCTTGAAAGAGGAGACATCTGAGCCAAAATCAGAAGGCAGGTAGAGGGTAGAGACATTGTGGCAAGACAGGAGGGCATTTCAATGTAAGAAAACAGATATGATAAAAAAGCAAAAGGTGTTAATGAAGAACAGTAAATTGGTTTAATTTAACTTGAAGACACGACTTGGAAATGGAAATCAAGGAAGATTAATGAAAGTACAGGTCCACGGATCCATTATCCCACTTTCATAAACTCCAACCCAAATAATTTCCATAATGAAGACTGTGTCATTGTAGGCATACAGCTAGAGCACTTACAACTCACTCCTAAGATGTAAGAAATGATTTCATTAATAATCTTCAACAGTGAAAATAACAATTAAAACAATTATTCTAAACTAGATATGAGAAGCAAGATGGTCTGGAATGGAACAAATACTATAACAACCAGATTTTTTCTCTCCAACCTCTAGGTCTTTATCGGGCTGAGTTTTATATTAGGAAAGTATACTTCTTTTGATCAATGTATTGGTTAGGAAAAGGAATGGCCCTAAAAGTTGAGGAGTCCACTGATCTAAATTTAAGAAACATTGCACTAAAAGGTAAACGCTGTGATTTTGGATGATTACTTGGTGCCAACTTGATTGTGAACACAAATATTAATGCAGGCACAGGTGGCAGCAATATAGATAATACTGAATAAAATGCTCTCTCCATATAAATAATCATCAAACAGAAAATACTCTGATTCTTTCAGATTAAGGTACACCAAAAATACATCTCTGACTTTCCACATATCCAAAGAATTAAGCATAAGATCCTACTAGAAATAAATCATTTATACATACTAGATTTTTATATAGATGATATTAGAAGATACAGTTCATGGTATAAAAGATACAGATGATGAAAAAGACAAGGTACATTTGGAGAATAGCAGCCTGTCCAACCGCACTGGTCCTCATGGCTTATGGGAAAGAGTAAAATGTAAGCCCCCACTTTATAACAAAAACACGAGCTCTTCTAAGACCGATAGTGATTCTATAGTCAGAATATTACCCACTGGCAGCATATAATTCAAGCGGAATTCAGGTCTTTTTAATGTGTGACAAATTATTCAGGGCACTGAATATATTTAAGTTATAAATGCTGGAGAGCACTATCAAGAACCATAAAGGGTCTTGAATGGTCACATTCTGCACTGCTTGCAAACTAACAAGGTAGCCTGCACAGTTTCATGGATGCTTCCAAAAGACTCTAGATTCCTGAGTCAGAAACAAATGACTTTACTAATCGGGGCATGGCAGGCAGCACGAGCTTCATGTTTTCATCCGTTCCTCCTGCCTCTCAAATCCCAAAGAGGCAGTGCAGAGAGGGGGATGAGCACCCAGCAGGATTGTGTCACAGCTGAAGAACCTCAAACATAGGAAACCCTCTCTTATAAGGGTGTTGCTAGAAAATCTGCTCTCCGCTGCCATCATTTGGGAGCATTGTTTCCACCATGTTAGACAGCAAATAAATCTGCCCACTAAATTGGAGGGAGTCATATGCTCTATCTTAGAAGCCTGTTTGCTACACAAATGTTCTCAAAGAGATAGTCCAGAACAAAAGCTGTCCATGTCTTTCTTTAGAGACACACAGAAATGTAAGAGATACAAGAACTATCTCTCAGCAAATTATATATTCTTTATGCTATTATTAATGTTAGCATATATTCTTTATGCATTTATGTAACCAAGTAGTACATTATTCACTTAAAAAAAGAACACAGAAATTTCAACATTTCCTAAAAAAAGTACCTGTACAGTTATCATCTTAAACAAATATGTACATACATATTTTATTAAAAATAAAAACTTTATGCAACACAGAACAAGTAAAATTTTTGGCTTTACCAAAACATTCACCTAGATGACAAGTGACATTTTCAAAGATTCCTGTAAGTGGTACCATGTGAAGTACCTATCTTTTATCAAATCAAAGTCACTTTTAACTCATTAGACAAGTATCAATCATCTTCATGTAAATAAACACTTAAAAGAACACTTATTCATCCTGGCAAAGTGGGAGATTCAACCTTTCAAAACATTTTAAAAATTAAGTTAAAATTTGGCATGAATTTACATTCCTATAAAATAACTCAATACAAAATGTTACGGTCATGGGAGGCTTATGTCTATACAAAAATTGAGAAACTTTGGTTTTGTTTTATTTCCTGCTGGTGATGGAAAGGTGGTTTACTCAAATGCTCACAGCCAGAGGAGCCGGCAGACTACTGTCTCAAGTCCACCTCATCTCTGCAAAATCAAAAAATTTTAAACTGAGAACATGTTTCTAACACAACCACTAAAAATAATTAAACAATAAAAAAGCAGAAACCTTTTTCTTTCTTTTTTTTTTAAGATGTAGTCTCACTCTATCACCCTGGGTAGAGTGCTGCGACATCATAGCTCACAGCAATCTCAAACTCTTGGACTCAAGTGATCCTCTTGCTCAGCCTCCTGAGTAACTGGGACTATAGGCTCCTGCCACGACGACCAGCTAGTTTTTCTATTTTTAGTAGAGATGGGGTCTCGCTGTTGCTCAAGCTGGTCTGATCTCCTTAGCTCAAGAAATCCACCCGCCTCAGCCTCCCAGAGTGCTGGGATTACAGGTGTGAACCACTGTACAAGGCCCAGAAACCTTTTTTGTTTGTTTGTTTGCAGTTTTGGCCAGGGCCGAGCTTAAACTCGCCACCCCCAGTATATGGGGCAGGCACCCTACTCCTTCAGCCACAGGTGCCACTCAGGCCCCGAAACCTTTTTAAAACCACTTTCTGTAGAAAAAGTGCATAAACTGCTTCATCTTCAAAAACTTTTGAGTTTTGAAAATTGGGGAAAATGAGTTAAAGACGTGTGTGACATACCTCTCCAAGAGCCTCGTATCTTCTCTGGTTCCATCTGTGCAAGTCGTCTCGATAGTTAAAAACAAATGGCTCCCCAGTGTTTATGTGTCTTAACTGCCCCTCTAAGAAAATAAACAAACAGTATGGCTGTAATTCAAACTACATTCATAACAACATAAACAACATGACAAATAGTATCTGATAAGAATTTAAAATAACTTTCTCAGAGCAGTTTTCTTTTTAGATTTTTTTCTTTCAAATGTCAATATGATGCAAACTTTCAAGTCTTAAAAAATAATGATCCGTAAGCACTCAAAGGCTATTCTTCTTGATCCTCATCTCTCTAAAGTAAACCAGCAGTACTATACGGCCTACTGTGTATAAAGATCTCTACTAGCTATCGCCAGGAACTTGAGATATAAAAGCATAAATATTAGGTTCAGTGCTTGTAGCTCAGCGGCTAGAGCGCCAGCCATATACCCTGCGGTTGGCAGGTTTGAATCCAGCCTGGGCATGCCAAACAACAATGAGAACTACAACAAAAAAAAAAAGCCAGGCGTTGTGGTGGGCATCTGTAGTCCCAACTATTTAGGAGGCTGAGGCAAGAAAATCACTTGAGCCCAAGGTTTTGAGGTTGCTGTGATCTGTGATGCCACAGCACTCTACCCAGGGCAACAAACTGAGACTCTGACCCTCCCTCCCCCCAAAAAGCATAAATATTAAAAAACTAAGCAACTTTTCATGAAGTTAAACAAGAATGAAGTAGATCAACAATCTGAAAACTGCCACAAGCATCCCATACAGAGAGTAAGTCCAGAATGATTTTGGAAAAGTGAAAAATTCCTAATAACTAGAACAGGTTCAGATGGTTTCAGTAAGATTTCTCCACTAGGATCTGAAATATGGGCAGGACAGCAAATGAAAATTGGAGAAAAGCAGTAAGCTAACACAGGTATGGACTATCATTCAGACTCACAGAATCAGAGATCTTTACTGATAATGACTAAGCTTTACCCATAATACCACGGGCACAGGCAAAGCAGGGAAAGGTCTGGGGCACATGGCTTTCCCCAGGTCCTTCCCTCTCACTCGCTGGCACTCTCTGGCTCGGAGTAGGAGGGATACTCAGTGAGGCATCTAGATTCCCTCACACATTGGTTGAGTGTTTGGCACATAAATATTTCCATTTCACGGGCCAAAGGGCTATATTGCTTATGTGACGTCCTTTAGACAATTGTCTCATACATCCAAAAGACTATAGGTTTATTTACCATGAGTCATCCTGCTTAAGGTACAAGGTCTAACAATTAAGTTCGTGAATTTGCCAGCATGTGCTTATGCTGGCAGCACAGCACAGATGGCTCGGGCAGGTCTCACAGCCTTAGCGTATCAGTGTCTCACAGCGGTGTTCATGTCACCATGTGGTGGCATCTTGCTGAGTGGTGCTCATTATTGTTCTTGCATGTTTTTGTGCTATCATAAGACTCCTGGAGCTTGAATTAGAGCAACAAACATTTTTAAACATTTCTTGTTAAACTTGGCAAGCCTGGATATGAAATCAGGGACATGTTACTGCAAGTTTATGGGGATAATGCCATGAATAAAATGACAATAAGTGGATTAAATGTTTCTAAAGAAGAGAAAGTATCACCGATGAAGAAAGATCAGGGTGGCCAGTAACAAACAGAACTGGTCATTACAAAAATAAAAACATTACAAAAATCATCAAATTGTGCACCAAAATCATCAGCTGACTATTAAGAAGCACAGCAGACCAAGTAAGCACTCATGACAGAGACAGTTAGGAAAATCTTCCCTGAAAATCTTGGAATGAGAATGGTGTGTGCAAAAATAGTCCCAAAGGGGCTCACCAATGAACAAAATTGAAGAAGAGTCAAAGTATGCCAAGACTTTTGAAGAGGCAAGATGATATTTAAGGCTGCGTTATCACTGGTGATGAAATACACCAATGGGTGCACTAATACAACCCTGAAACAAAGCATCAAAGTGCCTAATGGAAGTCAACCAATTCTCCATGACCAACAAAATTCCATCAGTCCAATCGAGAATCATGAATTTGTACCAACTGGACAAACAGCTAACCAAGTTTACTATTTGGAAGTGCTGGAAAGGCTGCATAAAAAAGCTACACAAAATGACCTGAAATTTTTAGCCAACAACTCATGGATAGCTTGCACCACAACAGCACACCAGCTCACACAGCGCTGTCTGTGAGGGAGTTTTCAGCCAGTAAACAAACAACTGTCTTAGAACACCCTCCCTATTCACCTGATCTCATCCCCAATGACCTTTACTTTACCCAAAGATAAAGGAAATATTGAAAGGAAGACATTTTGATAACATTCAGGACAACAGGAGTAGTAAGACAACAGCTCTAATGGCCATTCCAGGAAAAAAGTTCCAAAACTGCTTTGAAAGGTGGACTAGGCGCTGGTATCATGCACAGCTTCCTAAGAGGAGGACTTCAAAGGTGACCACAGTGATATTCAGCAATGAGTCAGGTAGTACTTTTTCTAGAACAAGTTTGTGAACTTAATTGTCAGACCTAGTATTCCACAGGTAAGGACTTCTCTTCATAGCAAATATTAGTCCTTATTTACCAATCAGTTAATTACTATCATATTTACAAGGAGAAAAAAACCAAGTCTTTTTCTCTAGGGTTATCAAGAAAGAAATAGACCACAAGCCTATTGCCTTCACCTTTCTTCTTCTGAGACAACAAATATTACTACTGGAACACACACCATCATAAAATACACTGTATTAAAACAAGTATGCAAATTAACATTAAAAAGTTTCTAGAATTTTCTGTTTAAACTCACCTAAAACCTTAGTACACAGACTATCGCTGTTAAGTCCTAATGCCTATAACGCATGTCATGAGGGGATGTCTACTAACACAACGATGACATAGCACCAACCCAGCTGATGCACAGCCAACACACAGAAAACTACAGTTCAAATGCTACCAAGATGTAATATCATTACCTTTCAAGTTTAACAGTGTATAAATAATTCAATGAATCATGTTTCTTTATTCCAAAAATGTCCTTGCAATCTAGGCTATGTTCCTCCACATCCCAAGTGTAAATGTTATTTTATTCAAAATCTAATTAACAAATTTTAAAAGAAGGATGTTGCCTGAAAAGTCACAGAAAATTACTTTAAAATACTGTCACAGATAATTATTGCCAGTCACTTCATTTTAAATAACATGTGAAATAGTAGTATCTTTCTATATGATTTAATTAGGAGTTCCAACTGGATACCAGGGAGTTGAATGTTCAAGGTTGAAGTGTATATGCTGAATCAAATTCATGTCCATTAATTACCTGACTTGATGACTCTAGGAAATTGTTATTTGATAACACTTCACTTGAGTGAAGGATTTCACCATGCAAGGATAAGTCATTATTTCTCAAAAGAAATACATAAAACATTCTAGCTGGACTTTAAAAGCAGCAAATAATATCAGCCTTAAAATTCTGGTAGCATTGTTAAGTAAATTTTGCATACAACATACACCACTTACTTTCATTAAAAGCATATTCAAATCCTTCCAGGGTATCAGGAAAATCAAGAGGTGGTTCATCTTTTTTCATTAGTTCATCCAAATCTATCCTCGATAATAAATCTAAAAAAAAAAGATATAAAAATAACTTAAATTCATTTTCATAGTTAATAAAAAAGACTATATTTTAAATTATTCTTAAGTATTCTTTGGTCTTATTAGACTATATATTCATTTTATGTATAGCTTTAACTGATAATGCCAATAAACTCCTAGGTTCCCCCCCAAATAACTATATTATGATCAAAAACAATATCAACATAAGCACTTTGAAAATCATAATTCTCAAAACAATCACAACTCAGATTCCATATACAATTATATTAAATTGTTAACGTCCTTCAAAATAAACAGCGATTATTTGAACCTTATTTACTTTATTCCATAGGTAAACGTTTCAGACATTAATATGACTCCTAAAGGTCGTTAAATCTTACATATAACTGAAACTATTATTTATAAGAGGACTTACAAATTTAAATAGTGTTAATATAAGGGATGGTTTTTTATTTTTTATTTATTTCATTTTGATTTATTTATTTGACATTTTTTTTTGTATTAAGACATTTCTACTTTACTCTTAATAGTTTTGATATGTACCCTTTCATTGTGCACATTAGGTAGAGTCCAACCAACTACCCTCTTTCCTCCCGGCCTTCCCCTTTCCCTCCTTTTCTCTCTCTTCTCTCCTTCTTTCTGGACTATAGTTGTGGTTTATCACGTGTGGGAGAATAGTTTATGAGGAGGAGGACTCCCCTGGCAATTGAAGCACCACTGTTGAAAGTATAGGTGATTGTGTATTGGTTTCATGATAGTATTGAGTACACTGGATAATTTTTCTTCCATTCTTAAGATACTTTACTAAGAATATGTTCCAGCTCCACCCAGGTAAACATAAAAGATGTAAAGTCTCTTATCTTCTTTTAATGGCTGCATAACGGTAGATCTACTTTAGTTCCCTAAATGTTCTCCACACTTCTTTCCAAAAAAGACATAATAGCTTACATTCCCACCAGCAGTGCAGACGTGTTCCCTTCTCTCCACATCCATACCAAGATCTATAGTTCTGGGATTTTGTGATGTGGGCTAATCTTACCGGAGTTAGATGATATCTCAAAGTGGTTTTGATTTGCATTTCTCTGATGATTAAAGATAATGAGAATTTTTTTCATGTGTTTGTAGGCTATCTGCCTGTTTTCTTCAGAGAAGCTTCCGTTCAAGTATCTTGCCCACAATAAAATGGGGTTATTTGTTCTTTTCTTATTAGTTTCAGTTCTTTGTGGATTCTAGTTATTAGATCTTTGTCAGAAACATAACCTGCAAATATCTTCTCCCATCCTGAGGACTATCTTCTTGTTTTACTTACTGTGTTCTTGGCTGTGCAGAAGATTTTAGTTTGATCAGATCCCAGTAACGTATTTTTGGTGCTGCTTCAATTACCAAGGGGGGTCCTCCTCCTCATAAACTATTCTCCCAGGTCAATTTCTTCAAGAGTTTTCCCTGCACTCTCTTCTAGCATTTTTATAGTTTCATGTCTTAAGTTTAAATCTTTCATCCAGTGAAAATGAATTTTTGTTAATGGTGAAAGGCGGGGGTCCAGTTTCAGTCTTCTACGGGTCGCCAGCCAGTTCACCTAGCATCATTTGTTAAATAGGGAATCTTCCCCCTAATTAATGCTTTTGATAGGCTTATCAAAGATCAAATGATGGTGAGTGGATGGGTTCATCTCTTGGTTCTCTATTCTGTTCCATATATTTACCTCTCCATTTTTGTGCCAGTACCATGCTGTTTTGATCACTATAGATATATGGCCTGAAGTCTGGTAAAATGAATACCTCCTGATTTGTTTTTATTTCCGAGAAATTTCTTGGCTATTTAAGGTTTTTTCTGATTCCATATAAAATGAAGTACTGCTTTTTGAAGATCTTTAAAGTATGGCAATGGTGCTTTAATAGGGATTATACTAAATCTGTAATCTTGGGTAATATGAACATCTTAACAATGTTTATTCTTCCCAGGCATGAGCATGGTATGTTTTTCCATTTGTTAACATCTTCAGCTATTTCAAGGAATGGGTTTTTAGAGTTTTACATATTGGCAAGCCGTTATTTGAAAATGTTTTAATAAAAGTTTAATATACCAGAAAAAAATTAAAAACGCTAAATAATGAAAACTGGCTAACACAAAGCAATTTCTATTCTTCACATCATTTGGCTCCATGCAATTTTAAAAGATCTGTCAACCAGGTTTTTTTTTTTTTCAATAATAAACACTTAAATTTAGAATAATTTTAGATTTGTGGAAAAGAAGAAAGATAGTACACAGTATCTTATAGCCCTCACTCATTTTCCCCTATTGGTAACAGTTTACATCAACGATGGTATATTTGTCAAGAAGAAACCAATGTTGGTACATGACTGGTAACCAAAGACTAGCCGTTATTCATATTTCACCAGTTTTCCATTAATGTCTATTTTCTGTTCCCAGATTCCATCCAAGACACCACATTACATGTAGTTATCATTTCTCCCCAGTCTTTCCTTCTTTCCCATTACCTTAACAGTTTTGAGGAATACTATCATCTATCTTGTAGAATGATTCCTAATTTGGGTTTGTCTGATGTTTCTTCTTATAATTAGTACCATACTTATGGGTTTTTGGAAAGAACACCACACAGGTGAACTGCTATTCTCAACCTATCATGTCAAAGAGAACATGAGGACAACATGACATCACTGATGATATTAACCTTCAACACTTGATGAGGGAGCATGTGCCAGCCTTCTCCACTATAAAGTTATTATATTTCTCATTCCATAATCTATTCTTTGGAAGTGACTATGTCTGCCCACCTTCAAGAGGAGACCAGAGGAATTATGCAGTGCCACTTGGAGTAAAGAACATCTGCGTATATTATTTATAATACTTCTGCGTGGAGAATTCATCTCTCTTCCTTTGTTTACATATTTATTCAATCACTTTTTTTTTTTCAGTTTTTGGCCGGAGCCAGGTTTGAACCCATGACCTCTGGTATATGGGGCCAGCACCCTACTCCTTTGAGCCACAGGCGCCGCCCTATTCAATCACATTTTTATGCCACTATGGACCCATGGATATTTATTGTATACTTTGAGCTACGATACTACACATTTATTTTGTTTCTCAAATAACAGCCACTGTAAGTTCTTTAAGTCAACTCCTCTATCCCTTTGACATACTCTTAGCCTTTTGTGTTCTGAGCATTTCCTTTCTTTTTCTGTATTTCTATAAGATGTTCCAAGTTCACCTTGTATCTTTTACCACATCCCTAGAATCAGTCTATCAGTAAGTATGTAATAGTATCTTTTAGGCTCGTATTCCAGGATTAGGCTAATGTTATTATTATATGACATCACAATCTCATTTCTAAAGTGAGAAAAATAAAAAAAAAATAGAATCAGTCTATCAATAAGTATGCAATAGTATCTTTTAGGCTCGTATTCCAGGATTAGGCTAATGTTCTTATTATATGACATCACAATCTCATTTCTAAAGTGAGAAAAATAAAAAAAAATAGAATCAGTCTATCAATAAGTATGTAATAGTATCTTTTAGGCTCGTATTCCAGGATGAGGCTAACGTTCTTATTATATGACATCACAATCTGATTTCTAAAGTGAGAAAAATTTTTTAAAAACTTCAAATTTATTCAATTTGAAATAGATATAAAACAATTTTTGTCAAATCAAGAAAAAATAAAGATTAGCTTTTGAGTTTCCTCATTCTAACTCAAGTTTCTGAAGACAAGCCCTCCCATCAGTTGTAAGGTGAACCGGTCCCTTTCCTATAAATGGTGGTATCTCAGAAGTAACACTTTACTTTTGTCTCTCACAGAAACGTAACATATCCTTCTGTATAGAACATCAATAAAATATGGAGAAAAAAATATTTTCTCTACCCCCAGTGTCATCTCTTTCTGCAAGGCACAAAGACAAGCCATCAAAAGAACTTTCTTTAAAAAAAATCATTGCTTAGTAGTACTCTTTAAACTCCTATATCAAACTCAACTCACATAAAAATATGCCCTTCTCAACATAGAAAAAAGATTCACAAATTCTAGTGAAACAGAAATCTCACGTAATATGTGTATTGGGCTTTAAAAGGGACATATGCTAATAATTTCTTATTCATTAGTGACGTTCTGACCACCTTGTAATCTTTTCAAAATAGAGTAAAGATAGTATCAAAAATTGGCTCACAGTGGCTACAAAATTCTCACTTCTTTCCTTCCAGTGAATTGAAGTTCCGAGACAAAATTAGAGTCCTTCACTTTATAGTCAACTTCTACAACTCAAAACTTAAAAATCTGTTAACCAGACACACAGAAACTATCTAGTAGCCCTTGTCTGTTTCTACCCATGCAGATCATAAAATGCAGCTTTGTATTTATTACATCACTTTCACATATATTACCTCATTTGATCATCACAATCTTAGGAAATAGTAATATGTTATCATTTTCACTATCTTTCAGACAAGGAAATGAGCTCAGAGAGGTAAAATGCCTAATCCAAAATTATGGTTTACTAGTTAAGTGGGATTAATAAAATTAACCATTCTCTCAAAACTGAACTCAGAGCTCTTTCCAAATCACTATGCTAATTCTATAAGCCATATCAACACTGTCATATTCTTTCCCCTTTTCCTCCCATTATAAAGAATACAACATGTGCTTTTGCTTTGCCCAAAATGTTCCTCTGAATGATAATGAACAACTAAGTAAAAGGATATTCCTCAAATTAATTTTTCCTCCATCAACTAGAAAACCTGACATTTTTTTTATTTCATTAGCATTGAAAAGATATATAGAAACTGTCAGAAATTATTTTTCTGCTTTGTAAAAAGAAAACAATATGGTAAAGTTGCATTTTACTCTGAGACTGTGTTCCAAAGGAAGTAGATTATGCAAATATCAAGTATAATAAAATCATTTCCATTAAAAATCCCTTTAATCACCTATATAATCCAGCAGACTTAAATCCTTAAAAGCTAACTATGCATCAGCTATGACACAACTGTTTCTT